CACCAGTACATCCAGCTGTCTGCCACGGGCCATTTTGGAGGCCGTCTGCTGCTGATTCAATTTACCGACGGCGCTGGGCCTCCAAAAATTTTGTAGGGGATGAATTTTCTCTTCAGCAAGGCTGGGGCCGTGTACTGGCGGTTTAAGCCTCTCTCTTGACTTATCCCGTCGAAACCCCGATATGCATCGTAATCGGGCCAAGAATGTCAGCCATGATGATTCTGACAGAGAATGCAACCTGAAAATTCTTTAATTGGGTGTGTCCTGACCGGCTGCAGCAGGACCTGTGCGGCCACTTCCGCCTGGCCTGATGCTCCTGCAATGGGGTTGCCACCGGTTACAGGGCCGCACAACTCGAACCCAGCGAGCTGCCAGCCAGCGGCGACTGGCCCTGGCCATGTTCCTCAGGCCACAGAAAGTGACGGAAACGGGATAAGAACCCAGCACGTACTCGGTGCCGCTCAGGCATGAAGCAACGTAAAACACTACTAACGTAGCTCTACGCTAGCTCTATCTTATAGGACCTGGGACACATGAGAAGGTGGATGCGTCACACAAATAGATGGACCCACACAGGGACAGCTTGAGGTGACTGCTCCTACCAGCATCTGAAGCTGTCCCACGGGGATGTTTCTTCTTCTTCAAAAAAGAAGAAAAAAAAAGGGAAAAAGAAAAAAAGGTGGATGCATGGATGGAGACCTCTATAATTGCAGAATAGGGCCTCACAGAGAATAATTTGGCCGAGCTTTACCTTTTTAGGACATGCATCCGTCCATATTACCTTGGCATACCTTTCTGGACCTTATGGCGAAAAAGTAGATAAACAAATGAAGAAATGGAGCATCTGTTCTGATCAGTGGTCACCAAAAAAAAAAAAAAAAAAAAAAAAAAACACTTTGCATTTTGGCAAAAGAGTAGAGGAAGAAGGGGAGCATCAGCTCTGATCAGTGGTATTAAAAAAAAAAAGAAAAAAAAAGGAAATTTTGCAAAAAACGAGATGAAGAAGTGGACCATCTGTTCTCATTATTTGTCAATCAGGCACAACAACAACAACAACAACGACAACAATAACAAAAAAAAAAACCTCCACCATTTGGCTAAAAAGTAGATGAAGAAGTGGAGCGTCTACACTGATCGGTGGTCCATCAGGCGGGGGGGAAAAAAAAAAAAGGCAGAAATTACCTCAGCACTGAGTCAGCAGGAAAATGGGCATATCCTTTAGCATCGCCCTAAGTGTCTGACGCATGCTAGGGGAGGCCCTACCAGCTTCCCCCGCACACATAGCGCATGCTCAGTCAATATACGCAAGCTATCTTTCCGATCAGATACGAATGTGATGGGTGTGCGTCGTAGTCTGGAGGAATTATCAGCAACTTTTGCCCAGAGTCTCGCGACCCAGCGAAGGTGGCTGCAAAAGAAGTACGGTTAATTTGAGATGTCGCCAGGCATGACAGGAGGAGTGGACGACCGAGATTCAATCTCCTTTTTTCAGTTTTTTTAACCTTTTTTTTTTTTTTTTTCATCTTTGAATCTTTGGATCTTATCCTTTGATAACAACTGATTCCAGTGCATACGTTAAGCCACCAGTTCACGGGAGCCAAAGTTGTGGCCTTGCTGGTATACCCGGTAAGATTGTTCCGCTTCGGCCCTGGGTCCGTAGCGAAAGCGGAAGGGCCACTTTGAAAAGGCGCAGTTCCAGGCTCGCGAGCCTTGGAAGGTAACTTCGTGTGTGAACACTGAACTGGCGGTTTCAGAGTGGTATGGCATGATGGTGATTACAGCTTTGAAGCCCATAAGTTTTTTTAACTTTCCCCCTTTAATCTGAGGCTTTACTAGCGGTGTGGAATGAGCACCATTCTAAGTATGAATTGGCATGCAAGGATGTGTGGTGTAGACTACAGGTAGCACCACAACAGAGCCCCTGTTCCAACCAGATGAGTAGATCACAACTCAAAGCAGCTTCACTCCCCACTATTGCAGACAGTGAAGCACACTTGAGACGAGCCAATCCAGCAAGAATGTGTGTGTGTGTGTGTGTGTGTGTGTGTGTGTGTGTGTGTGTGTGTGTGTGTGTGTGTGTGTGTGCGGGGGAAGATGGGAAAGTCGTCGTAGTCTGCTGATGCAGTGAAGTCAGAGCGAGAGGGTGAGAGGGAGATGGTGGACTGAGAAGAGGAAGAAGAACTCTCTCTCTCTCTCTCACGTGCCGGGTACTAACCTGTGAAGATGGCGTTGTGCTGCAGGTACCTCGAAGACGAAGCTGGAGCTATGGCGCTGCAGGTAGGTCTCCCTGGCCTCCGCCCAATCTCTTTCTCTCTCTCTCTCTCTCTCTCTCTCTCTCTCTCTCTCTCTCTCTCTCTCTCTCTCTCTCTCTCTCTCTCTCTCTCTCTCTCTCTCTCTCCATACTGCTCTAGCTCCTACTAGCGCCCAGCGCTGAAGACTACTGCAGCACTGCTAACGCTACAAGCACCCAGCGCTGAAGACTACTGCTAGCGCTACTACTACTCCTGCAGCGCTCCTCCAGAGTGCTGCTGCCGACTCCTGAAGACTACCTCCTGCCTCCTGAACTGGACGTGAACTACCTGCCTGCCTGCAGGGCGGGCCAGTCCTATATAGTGCTGGCCCGTCCAGGAGGCTGCTCTTATCAATGCCGAAACGTGCCAGACCCTGGCGTTGAAGCTCAACCAGGGGTTGTCTTGAAAACAGGCCCAAAATGGCCTGTGCTAAAACCCTGGTTTGGTACCTGAGTTTCAGGGCGGGTCGATCTGATGAGGGCCTGAAAATGGCCCTCAGTTTCAGGCTGAAAACACTCAGGGCCGGAAAGGCCCTGATTTAGCCTGAACGACACAGGGCCTGTAGGCCCTTGTTTTCAGGCTTTCAGGCTGAAACGACACGGGGCCTGTAGGGCCGTGTAGGCCCTTGCTTTCAGGCTTTTGGCCTGAAATCATGGGCCTGAAAGTGGCCCGTGCAGCCTGTTGCAGGCGCAGCATGTAACAGAGAGAGAGAGTGAGAGAGAGAGAGGATCACGACCGGGTATGATCATTGGAGGAGGGTAGCGTTTGCTGAGATTCGCCCGTTTGCCAGCTTCAAGCTCACACACACGTATACAGTAGCACCGGGTGTGTTGCTACAGCAGAAAGTGGGGATCGAGGTGTGGAAAAGCACTACCGGTAGTCCCCCTCTCGTGTGCATTATGAGCGCTCGCGCAGAGTTTGTGTTTCTTCAGAGCCTGGGGAGCAAAAGAAGGAATGTTTTTGGTGCGAGATTGAGGGATGATGTGAGTTTGCTTGTTGACAAATGGCAGCCTCAATACCCAAGAAGTGGCTAAGATTTTTGCTGATTTTGACAAGTGTTACCCCGAGGATCGCATGCTGAAACCACGAGTACCTCCGCCGGTGTTGGGACAATAGGGAAAACTGCCAGTTTTCCCGAACTCCTAAAAAATCGGAGGCCGGGCCCGACGACGGCTGGCATTGAGAAATCTGATTGGCGGCCGTCGTTTCGTTTCGCCCTCCTAAAAGGCAGTCGGAGGCCCACCCGAGGCCCGCTATTTTCCCACTCGGCAAAGGTACTAGTGGTTTAAAAGAGCTGACGACTGATCGGGGTCCTGGGACTTTCTGGGGTGCGAAGTCCGTACTCTAGAGTCTAGATACATTTCGTTTCGCCAAATGCGTGCAAGCGTATAAAAACGAAAGAGTCTATGTGGAACGAAAAGAGACTGTCCTCCTTTAATGGGCAGTCGTACCTGTCCTTTCTTTATTTTATTTTCCTTTTTTTTTTTTTTTTTAACCTGCCCCCTCCAATGTTACTGGTGCTGGTAAGAGCAGACACCACTAGCGCCTGGGGAGAGGCTCCATCTATTGGTGGGGAGCATCACCTGCTGGAAAACAGGTCCAGCGTCCCACAGCTCCAGTGTCCCACGGGTTCAGCGTCCCATATCCAGGATGAATTCGGAGTATATCGTGATAGCAAGATGCAAAAAAATGCTCGGTTGAGTCAGTTGACCGACAATTTGCACCGCATCGACCGGAATACATCTGCATGGCACGAGATCCCCGAGGCGAGCGATGTCTCTGAAGAAAGAATTAAAGATCGATCGTCAAAGGATTTTCCGACGAATTTTTTTTCCGTTCGAGTGCTGAAGCGATTTGCCGACCGATTTTTTTTTCATTCGAGTGCTGAAAAGTTTTGCCCTTTGCCTACGGCCGGGATGCCCCTTGGAAGCTGGACATGGAATTGGTAGAGCATCGAGTGCTGTAGCGACAGGGTTTGCCCCGGTACGTAGTGCCTGGGTTTGACAGGCCTGGGACCTGTTTTCTTTTCGTAAATTTACGGCAGGCTAATTTTTGTAGAGATTTGGGTTCCAGGCCTGTACGATACTTGGGTAAACGTAGGCCCCTGGCGCCCGGGCTAGGCGGAGTGTTTTTGGAGTTTGTTTTGGGTCAGTGTGTTTTTAGACGGCACTATCTATGTATGGGCAACAGCCACTCTCCTTCAGTCCAGGCCATAGTCACCCCCCCCCCCTTGGATTCGGTGTGGTGTTGGCTGAATTGACTTTACCCGGGGGTAGCAAACTTTCGACGACCGATGAATTACCGCGGGCACGTAAGATAGGAACCGCCACATCTGCGGCTACTTAAGCAACGATTCGAGTCATGAATCTCCTCCGTTTTGGTCCACGGACTTTCGCGGCTAACGCCGGTACGACTGTGGTGGTAGAGTTGTTGGTTCAAATGGCGGTTCATCAGGTGTTGTGGAAAGAATGATTGTCACGGACACTCGACTTTCTTGCTTCAATCTTCATGATGCGACTTCGTGTGCTGCGACAAACTCACCGAGTGTTATCTACTACGACTTTGGGAGTCGGGAAAGAGAGTCGAAGCTTCCTTGCTGTGTTGCCGAGAAAGACAGTAGAAAAATTGAACCTCTTCGTACCGACTCCCATCCCTCTTCTCTTTACACTGCGAGATGCCCCCGGACACGGAAACCTGTTGTGCCTGTGGACACGGTTCGTCCACTCCTCTCCAAAAAAACGTCTTATCCACTTCCGCCCCTTGGCGAAAAAACAACATCTTATCCACCCCCACTCCTCTCGAAAAAACAACATCTTATCCACTTCCCGTCCCTTGCGGAAAACATCTTACCCACTCCCACCCCTCTCAAAAAAAGTTAAAAAAACATCTTATCCACTCCCACTCTCCTCGGAAAACGTCTTATCCACTTCCAGTTGGCTCGGAAAACTACTTATCCACTCCCACTCCTCTCAAAACACATCTTACCCACTCCCGCTCCTCTCAAAAAACATCTTATATCCACTCCCGCTCCTCTCGAAAAACGTCTTATCCACCACCACTCCCCTCTGAAAGAGAAACACCCTATCGAGCTGACGCTCTCAACGCATGTCCTGAGCCAAGGTAGCAAGCCGGGTAATGGCCCCGGTAGCTCATTTTTGTATTCTGATAAGGGACACTGGGCCCGGTTCCCAGCCGTGTTGCTCCCGACGAATAGATTGGAGCATCGTCTCATTTAAAAAAAATAAAATAAAAAAAAATCCGGGAGCGGTTGTACAGGATATCCTGCAACCTGAGCAACCTGCTCAAACCTGAACTTCGCATTAAAAAACCTTTAAAAAGTAATTAAAAAAAAGGCAGAACAACCACGACGGAAAGCGGACAACAGATATTATTCCCAAATAGTAGAAAGCAATGACAAGCAGCTGAAAACAAATTGAACAGTGCTGAAGTGGTCTCCGCTGCTCCGTAATGCTGCTGACAAAGAGACCGACCATCCGTCACTGCTGGAAAGGGGGGATAATGAGCCCCGGATAATGAACCGGATAACGAACCGGATAACGAACCGAACTTGATAACAAACCGGATAACGAACCCGATAAGGAGCTGAATAACGAACTTGATAACGAGGTTGATGAGGATGACGCTGACAACAAGGCTGCCAAGGACGAGGCTGACGAGGATGAGGCTGAGAACGTGGCTAATGATGACCCTGATGATGACAAGCGTCATAATGAGCCAGACAACGAGCCGGATAATGAGCCGGATAATGAGCCGGATAATGAGCCGGATAACGAGCTTGAGAATGAGGTTGATGAGGATGACGCTGACAGCCAGGCTGCCCAGGATGTGACTGACAACAAGGCTGAAGAGCACGAGGCTGACGAAGACGCTGACGATGACAAGCCTCATAATGAGCCAGATAACGAGCCGAATACCGAGCTTGAGAATGAGGTTGACGAGGATGACGCTGACAGCGAGGCTGCGCAGGATGAGATTGACCACAAGGCTAAAGAGGATGCGGCTGAGAACACGGCAGACGACGACGCTGATGATGATCCTCTTGACAACACTGACGAGGCTGATAGCAAGGCAAGACTGACAATGACGCTGACAATGATACTGACAGCAATACGAAAACACAAAGCCAATGGCAGTGAGAGGGGTCACAAATGAGACTGACAATGAGAGTGGTCACAAGACTGAAAATGAGACTGACAGCAAGGTCAGCGTTGAAGCTGGCAGGCAATGGCAGTGAGAGGGGTCACAAATTTCAGTGAAGTCCCTTTCCCAGTCGGCGATTYGCAGYTATCTCCTCTTGCACTCAAGTSTAGTCCCTTGCGATGTGCAGAASGKCAYCAAGAAGARCAAAGGCTGCCTCCAGCGGTCACAAAWCTCAGTGAAGTCCCTCGCCMAGTTGCACTTTCACAACTTTCTCCCCTTTCACCAAAGCCCACTCCCCTACCATATATGGAATGCGTTCAGTGAATAYAGTCTGCCTCAGACAGATACAAGAGGAAGGAATGTGTCACAGAAAGAACGAAGAAAATGCTCCATGACATGGTGAGACAAGAAGAGCAAAGGGCTGCATCCCCYATATCTTCTGTCTTCTTATCAATAAACCCTCCAACAGGTCTTCTTATCAATAAACCCTCCAACAGTAAAACCTTCAACAGGTCCACAAGTCGTAACCCAAAAAAGGGCACTGAGCTGTCTTGCCACAAGTCATCAAATTGTCGACTCAGCGCCCATCTCTCTCTCTCTCTCTCTCTCTCTCTCTCTCTCTCTCTCTCTCTCTCTCTCTCTCTCTCTCTCTCTCTCTCTCTCT